ATGGTATTATAAAATTTTCAGTAGGATTGATAGACAGTATTTTAATAGAAATTTATTTAGAAGGTGAAAAAGAAGGCAGAAATATAGGAATGGTTTTATTACCAGTTGATATGTTTACAAAACAAGACCGTAATAACAGATATTATTTAGATTTTAATTACTTTAATTATGTAGACTTTGAGATAAATTATAGTTCAGTTAAAGATTTAAGTAGAAATGATATTGATAAGGGAATTTATATAAAAGATTTACATTTATTCCAACTTAAAACAATGAATAGTATTATAAAATGTAATGTTTGTCATACATCATTACCAGTATTTCAGAATTCATTTGAGTGTTCATATTGTAACGTACACGCCCATATTGATTGTGTTGATAAAATTTTATTTTCCTGTAAAAAAAGTGCAACACATCCAGTTAGATTTAACAACACAAATTACAATATTGAACATCAACTTGAAGAATCTAGATCATACGGATTTTGGTCTTGTTACTTTTGTGGGGTAATGATAGGTATCAGTAGTAAAATATGGAAGTGTAAACGCTGTAATAATTATTTTCACATGGGTTGTAAAGAAGTGCTATTTAATGATTGTAAAATCAATTATTATATGAAAATTCAGATGACAGAAGCGAGAAAATTAACAGATACTATAAAACCATCTAAACAATACAGAATACAAGATTTTACAATATTAGAAAATTTAGTAGATGAAGGAATTGATAAAAGAATATTAGTACAGTGTAATGATGATGGTGAACTTTATGCTCTTAAAATGTTTGATAAAAACAAATTAGACTTAACATCATTTCTTATAAAAACACAGTTAAAGGTATTAGAGAAAATCAACAGTATTAGAAGTCATTTGTTATTAAATATGAAATTCTATTTTGGAGATTTAAAAAATTTCTATATTGGGTATGAATATTGTAAAAAAGGGACATTGTATAATTTGGTAAAATCTGGATACCAATTAAGTGAAGAACAGATAAGAAACTATGCAATAGAAATTATAACAGCCATTAGAGTGATACACAAACACAACATTATACATAGAAATATAAATTTATCACACATTCAAATAGCAGATTCAGGCCATATAAAACTAACATCATTCACCTTAGCAAAACAGTTAAATGTTGGCTCTTTATCATATACTTATTGTGGAACAATTAATAATATTGCACCGGAAGTATTTTTAAATGGAGGTTATAATAATTTAGTAGATTTTTGGTCGTATGGAATAGCTTTATATGAAATGTTTCATAAAGTTGCACCTTTCAGTGCTTCTAATTCAAAGAAATTAGTAAGAAAAATTTTACATCAGAAACCAGAAATTAATAAAAGTATAAATAGTGATGCTAGAGATTTAATTGAAAGATTGTTAGATAAAAACCCAAAAACTAGAATTGGAAATGAAAATATAAGTGAAATATTAAACCATTCTTGGTTTAAAGGTGTTAATTGGGATGAAGTATTAGCAGGAAATAATGAAATCAATCAAATTGATTTTAATTCATTAAATTTATATGAATCTGAATATATAAAAAATAATAAAGAATAATAAAAACCATAAAAGATAAAATAATATTCTTATTTTAATAAATCATTAAAATTTTAAAAAAGATTGATGTTTTGATATTAATTATTTAATTAAATGATTATTTATTTTGA